GGCATGCCCGTTTATGTCCTACATTTATTCAAGGGGTGGGGGGGGGGGGCTATCAGAACTTCCGGAGGATGGAGTGGGGGGTGGACACTTATTAATATATATTTTCAATACTAATTAATGTTTTTCCCACTTTTGCAGGGGACTGTGACCTCAGCCGTTGGTATGACCTGTATACAAAAAATGTAAAAGTTCCAGTTTTTAAAAAAAGATTTTTATCTATATTTTTTACGTGGTTCCAGTCTCTCAAATACTTCTATGTCAGTAGTTCATGGTGCAAATCTCTAGATCAGTTCCGTGATGCAAGTATGTCTTTGTTCTTGTCTGCAAAACAGTTTATTTAGCTCAGAGCTTTGTCCTGCTTTGTTTAGCTCAAAGAGCTTTGTCCTAGTTTTCATGCTTTTGTTCACTCAACACACACAAGTCCACAAAGTTCATCTGATCTTGGCAACCATTTCTCTACTCACTACATGTGTTTGTCTGCCTTGCTCAGCCAACGTTGTCATTGGTAACCCTGATATTCTTGTCATTAGCCTATCTCAATGATTGGTAATCCTGATATTCTTGTCATTAGCCTATCTCAATGATTGGTAACCCTGATATTCTTGTCAGTGGTCTATCTCAATGATTGGCTACCCTGATATTCTTGTCATTAGCCTATCTCGATCATTGGTAACCATGATATTCTTGTCATTGGCCTATCTCAATTATTGGTAACACCTATAATTCTTAAAGGTCTCCCACAACCTACCAAAACCTACTCATTCATTGTTGATGTTTACTAAAAATCCAATATACCTTCTACAAATGGGATGGCGTGGTCAAAGCAGATAGAGCTCTAGGCTGCTAACCAAAATGTCACGAGTTCGAATCCGGTTCCAAGTCCGTAGAAAATCTCTCCTAATGGATCGCAGGATCTAATGAGGATTCTGTACTTTTTTTTACTTTTATCCCATCAACCTACCTAGGATGAAGTTTACCAATCAATCAACCAGCCTGGGATAAAGTTATTCAATCCACCGGCAAGGGATGTAGAAAAACTCTCCAGTCAGAAGACTAAATGAGCCATCAAATGATCAAACATAATTATTTTTAAATTGACAGGAACGGCAAGATTTACCGGATGCTGTACACGTGAGTTGAGTTAATGAAATGTTTTCGTTATGAAATAACACGTGTATATAAAAATAAAAAAGTGATTGGCACGTCCATAACATTACCTGACTTCCGCGCATGATTTTATTTGTAGGGGAAGTCACCCGGATATTCTCCATCTGGAGACTAGGTTGGATAATTAGTTTGGTTGACGATAATTAGACACCTAGTTAATTAATGAAAGTCTACTTTTAATTGCGATAATTACAAAATTTGTGTGTTTTACTGTAAAAATGTTTTCATATAAGACTGAAGATTTGAAGGTAAAAATTAGGAATAGGTAGGTAAAGATGAGGAATGGGTAGATAAAGATTATAAATAAGCAGGTAAAGTTTGGTGTTACGGGCCGTAACAACTGGTGGCCAGTATGGGGGGTAGTGTTACGGGCCAGTTGTAGGTTAGTTTAGAATAGGTTAGAATAGTCTAGAACTAGGGGAGAGTGCCTGTGTGAGTGGAGTTCACCTTACTGTGTAGTTACCCTTGTGTGTTTATGTCTTGTAATCCCAAGGTCGAATGCGGGTATAAAAGGGCGAGTGAACGATTGTGGGGGGCAGTCAGCGGGTTAGTAGCGGTTAGGACGAGGGCTGTTATGGTACGCTTGAATGCATTGAGACAAATAAAAGGAGTGAAGTTATACACGAAGCGTTGTTCTAGAATTCGAATCTAACCCGGGACGTAACATTTGGATAACGTTGGTAAAGATGTGGGATAGGCAAATAAAGTTTGGGAATAGGTAGTTAATGTTTAGGACTAAAATAGAACGTAAGCAGGAATACGCTGTAAAGCCAGGAGCTAGTGAGGGTTATGTGGAAGCTAACAAGGTAGATAATTCAATAAGCTTTACCTCCCTTGTTAAAGTACAAACTTGTGTGCAACACTTCACCAAAATTCTTTGTTTAAATTATTTTCTTCTTTACCAACCTGATTCACGTTTTAGAGCTATTTTTGGACCACTTTATATTTGTGTGTATTTATCAGGGTTTGTATTGGTACCCACCCAAGACGATCTAACCTCTACTTCCACTTTCATGTCAATAATATTGACGGTGTCGGTGTTTTCATCTAATGTGGGCTTAAAATTTGCGAAAGGAATAGTTTTACCACACAGCAAAACTATAGAATATTTCTAAAACACATGTGAAATCACAGACCCTTCCTACAACACAGCAGACTACAAATAATTTATTGGAGACCATCAAAACTACAGACCATTTCTACACCCCAACAAAACTACAGACCATTTCTAAATCCTAACAAAACTACAGACCATTTCTACACCCCAACAAAACTACAAATAAAATCTTTTAGACGAACAAAACTACAGACCATTTATATCACACCACCAAATCTAAAATAATAACTTAACCGCCATACGAACTAACTAATGAAATTACACCTAAACGAAAACTAAAAATAAAAAAATAAAACAGTTGAACAAAACCAAAAAAAAAATAAAAATAAAACCAGTTGAACAAAACCAAACTGAATCATCTGATATCGTAAGTTTACAGAAATACGAGACGAGAAATGAAGCAGATAACACACTGCAGATAAATTCTTAAAATAACCCCCTCCATCCAGATAGTGCTACTCAGCTTTTTGTTTGAAACCTCCTCCACTTATTTCATGGGGAGATCAATCTTGAGCGCCCCACCTGCCCTCCCCCATCCCCAATTCATTAAGTCTGCAGAACTCTTGTTGTCTGACTAAATTATTGTTTCCAGAAAATGAAGCCATTCGGCACGTGCCGCGAGACTTTCTGACGAGCCAAAATGAGGCTGTAGAAAAAAAAAATACGAGATAGCGAAAGTAAAAAATGTGTACAGTTCAGCGTGTTGGTGCTAGTTAGGGGTCGGCGTGGTCGAGTCGGTAAAAGCTCATGGTTGCTAAACCGAAAAGTCTCGAGTTCGAACCCTCGGGCAGATGAGGCTCGTTAGCTGGGGACAGCCACTCTTCTAGGAGAGACAACTCCAAAATTAAACAACTGCTGCCTTGTAGTTTGTTCTTGGTTGGACAAAGGCTATGGAAGCAAATCCAAAAAGAAAAGCAGGCTGAAATCGGAGTCAATGGCCTCAATGGCGCATAACCAGTTGACACGTAATGCTTAATTGTGTTGGAGGCGTGGTCGAGTCGGCAAAAAAGCTCATGGTTGAACAAAAGTCTCGAGTTCAAACCCACTGGCAGATAAATTTCGATCCCCTTCAACACTAATAATTAAGAACGAAGAAGAAGAAGAAGAAAAAGGTGCTAGTTGTGTTGGTGCTAGTTGTGTTGGTTGGATTTGAAGAATAATGACGTGTTACGTTAGTTTAGGGGAACCGAGTGGTCTAGAGAGCTGGGCTGCTAACCCGTAAGTCTCGAGTTCGAATCCGGGTTCAAGTCAGTAGACCGTCCCTAAGTCCACCCACCTCTGATGAGTACCCAAATCACGTTAGGGAGAGTAAAGCCGGCTGGGCTGACCACACTATCTCTTTATATGCCGAGGTCACAGAAACAAGTGAACTCTACTTAACTTTCCCTATAGACCGTCAGGTTTGAAAGGGGAACTTTACTTCTTTACGTTAGTTTGGAGTAATATTTACTAGATACATTTAAGGTTGTGTTCATATTTGAAAAAGATAGTATTCATTTAATATATTTTTTTTGTAACGGGAGGTAATGTTCATAGTTAAGGGAGGTAATGGGCATATGTAGGGGAGGTAATAAGCAGGTGTAAGGGAGGTAACTTGAATTTTTTATTTAGATTATGGTGATAGATAAAGGAGGCAATGGGCATACGTAAGGCACATAATGTTCATAATAAGTGAGGTGGTTCAAAGGTACGGGATGAAATAGTCACAGATAAGGGAGGTAATATTCAAATGCACGCGAAGTAACAATCACAGATAGGGGAGGTAATGTTCGCGGATAGGAAAATGTTTATGAGTTGGAAAAATTACGTTTGTCAGTACAGATACTGCCTCTGGCCAAGTGCGATAATGTCCCCTAGCAAGGGGAGGCAATGCTGCTGAGTTTAAGATTGTCCCCGAATATTGCAGATAAAGTTCGTGTTTTTATAAGATACTGTCTGACGTAAGGATAGAGGATAATACAAGAGATAAACATATGAGAAATCTGCATCCAGATCTTGGGTTATAGGTGCGAGTCTCAGCCCCATCCCTGGCTCCTTCCCACACACCCAACCCGTTAGCTCATCGAGAGTCTGACCCAGGGATTTAAAAATAGAATCTAGTTCAGGTATGTTTGAGAATTTCAAGCCGCCAGGTGAAAGAATTACAGTTACAAAAGGTTGAGGGAATCACGTGACTGGAAGATTCCTGACGGCCTAGTTGTTGAAGTGATCTAGAGTGATCTAGAAGTGATCTAGAAGTGATCTAGAGATTCTACCTTCAGATTTTTCCACTCACAAAAAATTTTCTTTTACAAATCCTAAGTGCAATGCGAAAAAAGTGTAGTTCAAATAACAAATTGTATCATTTAATTATGCTTAGATTAAGATGTAATTATACTATTGTAGCATCTGGGTAAACAAAAACTACAGTATTAAAAAATCAGGTTTAGAATATATAGGGAGAGAACTTGTTGATACTGATAGATTAAGAGGGTTATAGAGGGATTAGGATTAAAGTATTTGTTAAATCCAAACGTAGCCTGTTGGGCAATACGAAACAACAAAGTGTACACAACGACAAATAGCGATGTGTGGACAAAGGACAAATACAGATGCGGACAAACGACAAATACATATGTAAACAAAGGACAAATACATATGAAAACAAAGGATAAATACATATGTGGACATAGATCAGACCAGCCACATATCGCATTGAACAAATCACATAGCCACGTTTGTGGAAAAAACAGCAGATTTTAATGAGCAAAAATTATTTAATGCAGATATCAATTACGGCTAGAGATCCGTACAGGTATTCAATATGTACTGGCTACCTACAGATCCATACAGGTATTCAATATGTACTGGCTACCTACAGATCCGTACAGGTATTCAATATGTACTGGCTACCTACAGATCCGTACAGGTATTCAATATGTACTGGCTACCTACAGATACATACAGGTATTCAATATGTACTGGCTACCTACAGATCCGTACAGGTATTCAATATGTACTGGCTACCTACAGATCCATACAGGTATTCAATATGTACTGGCTACCTACAGATCCATACAGGTATTCAATATGTACTGGCTACCTACAGATCCATACACACTTTTATGCCACTCCCTTCACTCTGCCACACACAGAAGGGGAAACAATTCCAAGAATTTTTTTTTTCCTTCTGTAACATTCACTCTAGTACATTTATTGCGAAGGTAGCCAAGTGATTCACGAAGTACTTGACTTAGCAAATACTTGACTTGGTGTATAGCGCGACTAAAAAAAACTGACTTATGTTAAAGAGAAGTCATACAGGCAAATAAAAAAAGTTCGATTGTAAAGCTGTAAGACACATCCATTCATTCTGTTATTGCACTTGATTAGTGAGTGGTAAATACAGACAGTGTACAGTTTACAGAAAGGTCAAGGCCGATTAGATAATGTACTCCAGCAAGGTGGCGTACTTGGACTCGTCTGCGCCGTAGTTGGCGTTCAGCGTGACCTTGACATCTTTCCCGCGGTGCTTGCTCAGGGCTGCAGTCCCCTCCCAGTTGTCGCCCTTTTTGGTCAAGTGGAACCACTCCCCCGCTGCTACGGCGGCCACGGCCTTGGCATTGGGGATAAAAACCTTGAACTCTACCTTGGCCAGGCTGGTCTTGGCGTTGAGCACTAAAGGTGAGTACAGGTAGCATCCATCTTTCCATTGGGCGTACTGCTTGGGGAAGGCGTAGGCGGCTTTCTGCGCCTCCTTGACGTTGATTAAATAGTTGTAGACGTTGGGGAGGGACTTGCTCTCGTCCGAGGCGTCTAGGGCGAAGATCTGGAATTTGAAGTAGCCGGCTTCAGGGAACACAAGGACAAAGTGAAGCTCCTTGTCTTTGGTTTGTGTGAAGACGTACTCCGTGACTTCCTTGTCGCTTCGGCAGTTGATTAGGTTAGTGGTTACCTGTAGTGGGCGATACAACAGCAAAAGTTATACGGATTGTTTGGAGTAAGGTGTAAGGTAAGGTTTGCAGTAATATATATATCAGTAAGGTGGGCAGTAATGTCTGCAGTAGTATATCAGTTATGTTGCAGGAATTGTGTAACTCATTGGACGACAAAGTGTCAAATTGGTATGACAGTTTGTTCATCTACACATCATTACATAATTGTCTTTGTCAATATCTCTGTTCTCTTTATTTCGTATTAATATATATATATATATATATATATATATATATATATATATATATATATATATATATATATATATATATCGATCTATCTCTTAAGTTCAATTACACCATCTAGTAAATTACCCTATTCTGCAGAAAGCCAATCTATCAGATCATTTATCCAAAGAATAAACATATTGTATGTCCACAATCCACACACATTTTTTTTTACCTTATTTACATACTCACATCCACACCACATTTTTTTAAAAAGGTTAATCTAAAATAATCACGGCTTATCACGATTAAATTCAACTTTAATTCCTCAAAGAAAACACATCCAACTAAGCAATTGTTTGCAAAATTTCGACTTACGAAAATGTTAACAAGATAATGTAAAATTATACAAAAGTTAAAGTTGACACGAGATCCAAAGTTAATACAATATCTAAAATTGATACGAAATGTAAAATGGATACAAAATGTAAAATTGATACAAAATGTAACGTTGCTACCAAATCTAAAGTTTATACAAAAATCTAAAGTTGTTACCAAATCTAAAGTTGAAACAGAATCTAAAGTTGATACAATATAAAGTTCATACAAAACCTTAAGTTGATACCAAATCTTAAGTTGATACAAAGTGTAAAGTTGATATAAAATCTAAAGTTTATGCAAAAACTAAAATTGATAAAATACAAAGTTGATAAAAGGTGAGTAACGTACCTTGACCGGCTTTGGAGCTTTGAACTTAATTTCCAGTTCCCCATTGTTGTCCACGGAAAATTCCGGACTGTCGTGGGTTAGGGTTTGGAGATTGAGTTCACCGAACTTTGGCTGGCTACCCAGGTAACCCACGGGGAGATCGGGTTTCTCGGACATCGTGTAGGGCGGGGAGGGAGGGGTGGGGCAGAGCCTGAGTCTACTCACGGGGAAGGTAGTGTCACAGACCTCTGCTCTCCAGCAAGCACAAATGAGCAGCACGTCAGCGAAATTGGATGTCTACCTCTTATTTATAGCCGTCGGTTCACGCGGCTCGGAGCACGCGAGAGGCGGGGCGTTAACCAATCGGAGAGAAGACCGGAAGTTGCCGGAACTTGACGAGACGTCGGCACGGTTACCGCCAAGCTATTTTTAAAACGGGATTGAAAAAAAAGTTTGTTGGTAAAAATCTTCACCGGCAACCGTTTTGTGGGGGAATTTTTTTTTTTTTGGGAAGAATTGTGTAATTATTGCCGGCAAATACCAGAGGGGATGGAACTAAGGAGGGGGAGGGGGGAAGGAAGGGGGGTGAGAGATAATATTTGCCTAAAATAACCCGATTAATGCCGACGTCCTGCTTTATGTGCAGGGAGTGATTAAAGATGCCAGGTCAAAATAAAAAGGGGAAACAATATGGCCGTGCCAGAGAGAATAAATTTATTTAACTCTAAATGTTTGGATGTGGTAAATCTAAGGCCAATGTCTGGATGTGGTACATCTAAGGCCGATGTTTGGATGTGGTAAATCTAAGGCCGATGTTTGGATGTGGTAAATCTAAGGCCGATTTCTAAAGGTGGTAAATCTAAGGCCGATGTCTGGATGTGGTAAATCTAAGGTGGTAAATCTAAGGCCGATGTTTGGATGTGGTAAATCTAAGGCCGATGTCTGGATGTGGTAAATCTAAGGCCGATGTCAAAAGTTGGTTAATCTAAGGCTGATGTCTAGATGTGGTAAATCTAAGGCCGATGTCTAGATGTGGTAAATCTAAGGCCGATGTCTAGATGTGGTAAATCTAAGGCCGATGTTTGGATGTGGTAAATCTAAGGCCGATGTCTGGATGTGGTAAATCTAAAGCCGATATCTGGATGTGGCAAATCTAAGGCCGATGTTTGGATGTGGTAAATCTAAGGCCGATATCTGGATGTGGTAAATCTAAGGCCGATGTTTGGATGTGGTAAATCTAAGGCCGATGTCAAAATGTGGAAACTATAAGCAGCCTGTCAACGTTTAGGATATAATGGCACGTATATATATAACTTCAAGTTAAGGCAACCGATCCTTAATGTTGCCCACTTTAGTGACCAAAGCCCAAATGTTGCCCACTTTAGTGACCAAAGCCCAAATGTTGCCCACTTTTGTAACCACAGCCCAAATGTTGCCCACTTTTGTAACCACAGCCCAAAAGTTGCCCAACTTAAAACAACCAAACAATAATAACTTTCTGATGTGCATCTTCTAATCAAGGTATACAATGGCGTCTGGACTGCAAACGACCTCATCACTTACTGCAGTCAAAAGCCAACCGCCCGACTAATGTCACCATGAAAGGGAGATCAATACAAACTCTGCTCCACCCCCAATGCTAGCCAACACGTTTGAGTAAAATATAATTTACGGTGGTTTACTGAAGTCAGGATTTAATCGGGATGATCAAGAACATCAAAGAACTGCGGGGTGCAAGTGGGAAACATCTGCTTTTGTTGGGGGCTACATTTTAGACTTTTGGACAATTAGAAGAATCCTGGTCAATAGACGCAGAATTTTGGCTAATTGACGTAGAGTGTTGGCCCATTGAGGAAGATTGTTGGTGAATTGAGATAGAATGTTGACCAATAGGGGCAGAATATAGACCGATGGGAGAAGAAATAAGATACAATAGTACAAAGATTTATGTGTGAAATAAGATACAATTTAGCGACAGACAATCAGTAGACAACAGCCCCAAACTTACAAGGATCTGTAGAGGTAGCGTTACATACTAGACAAACAATGCACCTGACAAATTTACCCCCCCCCCCTCCAGCCATAAACTCTCATTACAAATTTTTTTACAGATTTAAAAAAGTCAAATTTAAGCTTCAAAAAACTGTTGTGGTAAAATTATTTGACCCTTTATTTTAAAGCCAATAGAATCAGACTCAGAATTAAGCTGTTTATTTCTGATTTATAAAGTCGTAATATTTATGGGTTTGTAATGTTTTGTGGTTGCTTTAAAGGAAGGTCGATCCAAATAGATATATTGAACTAGTGTTAGTAATCGAGCTTTAAATAGGCGCATGCTATAAATTCGTTTTTTTTTATCGCTAAACATTGTGAATTTCTTTTTAATGTATGTTATTGTTTCTTATACTAATAGGCCAAATACTTCAACATTGTGTTAATTGGAGAACCGTGGAAAGAATTAGTTGTAACAATGTAGGTTATGTGACATATTTGATAAATGGTATGTTTGAAATCATTGATAAATGATATTTTAGTCATATTAGATAAATGATATTTTAGCCATATTTGATAATTTTTTTAATGATGTTTGACATAATTGATAAATCAAATGTTAAGAAGGTGATCATTGGGGGTATTCGTGTGTGTGGGAGGGGGTGGGAATTTAGTGCCCCCCCCCCCCACCCCCCCCCCCCCCCGATCTGAAGAAAAAAATATCTGAAAGAAACCTTATGTGGAAAAAACCAGATCTAGTTACCTGGTCAGTACTTTTGTCATGGTCAGACAGACGGCATGCTAACTTGTATAACAGGGGAGGTAGTTGCGGAAAAATGTTTTTGTGTTAAATAAAATAAAGATTATGCCCCTTGAATTTGTTTTATAAATTAACAAATAATTAATTATATTTGTATCTTTAAGCTGATACTGAAGAAGTCATCAAATAAAGTCAGCTGATGAAGTAGCAATTTAAGTCATGAAACAATAAGCTGGAGTGAACTCCATTAATCTTTCTAGTTGGTATGGTAATTCTACTTGAAGAATCGGACTTTCAAAAATCTAGGTTGTGATAAAATATTATAAAACCGCTCGATTTTTAAGAAAAAATTTATTATTATTTTTTTTTTTGTTGAGAAAACTTATTGAGACGAAAGATGTTTAGATATTACTGTTGTTTTAGATTATGATATACAATTAACTCGAATTTTCTTTTCAATTACACAAAATAGAGTAAGGTTTCACTTTCAGTTATCGGGAATCGCTCTAAAGATGATAGAAACAAAGGTATATAACGAATAAATATTCCTTCTTAGACCTAGCGATCTATTGGGCAGATAAAGTAGAGTTCATATTTATTAATCTCGGCATGTGAAGGGATGGTGTGGGCAGCACTATGCCCGGCGGCCTGTACATTCCCCAACGTAAGTCAGGTACTCACCAGAGCTGGGTGGACTCAGGGACATCCCAGAGTCACATATAATCGAATACTTACAAACCGGTGTCCGCCTATCTGAAACGGTTCTCAAATCATCGTGTTTACACACTGACAGACACACATACAGACTAGATAAGAAACTTGTAATTTTCCTGCTCAGGAAGGCGGAAAACGAAAGAATTTGTCAAACTATCGATTTCAATGTTTTGCCCGATTACAATACTTACCCTACTCTGTATACAAGAAAAATAATGTTCAACCAACCCTAGTAGAGTTGTAGGAATTTTAAAAAAACAACCCCCTATGGTAGATGCTTCTCTATACTGTAAGCCCTATACGGCCCACCCCACCCCACCCCACCACCACACGTTTTATATCCCCCAATACATTCCGGCATGCTAGCGGGAGACATTGCGTGCACAAAAGATCTGTCTGATGTATGGGGTTAACAGCCATTTTTCTTTGTCACAAAATTATTTTTTTTAGGTAGGTGTGTAACAGTGTTTTACTTTTCTACAGGTGTGTCTAAAAGCTTTTACTTTTCTGCAGGTGTGTTACACAATTTTATCTTTAGGCAGGTGTGTCTAAAACAGGGGTCTCCAAACTACGGCCCGCGGGGTCCTCTCATCCGGCCCGCGGAGATCTTTTTGTCCACGGAAAAAACATTTGTTGGTAATGGCTGAGGAACTTTGCTCAGAAAAATCACGACATGCCTGGAAGAAACTGGCCCCCGAACTGAAATTTGATATGTAATGCGGCCCTCGGGCTGAAAAGTTTGGAGACCCCTGGTCTAAAAGTTTCACTTCTCTGCAGGTGTGTCCCACCTTTATGTCCAGGAAGTGAATTGTTCTCTGATACATCACTAAACTATCAACTTGCTAGGGCAAACAAAACTAAGTTTGGTTTGTTGACAGGCTTTGTTCTCTAGGCACAACTTGTGTGACTTATTGGATGATATGTGTGTGGAGCAGGTGTGTGGGGCAGGTGAGGGAGTCAGGTGTGTGGGGCATGAGTGTGAGGCATGTGTGTAGGGTGCGAATGTGTGTATATGTTCAAAATGTATATATGTGTATGTGTACCTATAAGTGCATGTTCATATATGCATGTATGGGGGTTGTTGTATGTATGAATGTGTGTGTGTGTGGATTTGTAAAACGGTTTATGCACGTGTGTATGCGTATGTGTATGTGTGTGTGCGTATAAGTGTATGCGTATGTGTGTGCAGGTGTTTGTACATAGCACACACTGTAAGACTTTGATACCAGAGCGTGTTTGAGCGTCACTCCAAAAGTGTATGTGTGTGCTGGTGTTTGTACATAGCACACACTGTAAGACTTTGATACCAGAGCGTGTTAGAGCATCAGTCCAAAAGTGTATGTGTGTGCAGGTGTTTGTACATAGCACACACTGTAAGACTTTGATACCAGAGCGTGTTTGAGCGTCACTCCAAAAGTGTATGTGTGTGCTGGTGTTTGTACATAGCACACACTGTAAGACTTTGATACCAGAGCGTGTTTGAGCGTCACTCCAAAAGTGTATGTGTGTGCAGATGTTTGTACATAGCACACACTGTAAGACTTTGATACCAGAGCGTGTTTGAGCGTCATTCCAAAAGTGTATGTGTGTGCAGATGTTTGTACATAGCACACACTGTAAGACTTTGATACCAGAGCGTGTTTGAGCGTCGGTCCAAAAGTGTATGTGTGTGCAGATGTTTGTACATAGCACACACTGTAAGACTTTGTTACCAGAGCGTGTTTGAGCGTCAGTCAAAAAGTGTATGTGTGTGCAGGTGTTTGTACATAGCACACACTGTAAGACTTTGATACCAGAGCGTGTTTGAGCGTCAGTCCAAAAGTGTATGTGTGTGCAGGTGTTTGTACATAGCACACACTGTAAGACTTTGATACCAGAGCGTGTTTTGTGTGCAGGTGTTTGTACATAGCACACACTGTAAGACTTTGATACCAGAGCGTGTTTGAGCGTCAGTCCAAAAGTGTATGTGTGTGCAGGTGTTTGTACATAGCACACACTGTAAGACTTTGATACCAGAGCGTGGTTGAGCGTCAGTCCAAAAGTGTATGTGTGTGCTGTTGTATGTACATAGCACACACTGTAAGACTTTGATACCAGAGCGTGTTAGAGCATCAGTCCAAAAGTGTATGTGTGTGCTGTTGTATGTACATAGCACACACTGTAAGACTTTGATACCAGAGCGTGGTTGAGCGTCAGTCCAAAAGTGTATGTGTGTGCTGTTGTATGTACATAGCACACACTGTAAGACTTTGATACCAGAGCGTGTTAGAGCATCAGTCCAAAAGTGTATGTGTGTGCTGTTGTATGTACATAGCACACACTGTAAGACTTTGATACCAGAGCGTGTTAGAGCATCAGTCCAAAAGTGTATGTGTGTGCTGTTGTATGTACATAGCACACACTGTAAGACTTTGATACCAGAGCGTGTTTGAGCCTCAGCCCAAGATAAAAAACAAACCGGAAGTGTGGAACCACAGCCAGATTAGCTTATCATTAGCCAGCTATAATTCCAGCTATGATTGGCCAGCTATGATTCCAGCTAGCCAGTAGCGTAGCGAAAGAGGGGGGGGGGGTGAGGGGGGGACATATGTCCCCGGGCGCCGACCTTAGGGGGCGCCAAAATGGGTTGGAAAAATAAATTGAAAGGTTGAGGGGGGGTGCAAATCGAAAGTTTGAGGGGGGGGATGCAAATCGAAAAGTTTGTCACCGGGCGCCGGGAAGGGTCGCTACGCCTCTGCAGCTAGCTCGACGTAACCAGCTTGCTGTTTGATTTTGAAGGCTCTATTGTCGTGTGTGCATTCTTCTTCACCTACCCTATCAAGTTCAAGATCTCAAACAAAATTTCAAATTTTCCAAAAATTTCAAATTATAGTCAAGCCCTTAAGTGTGTGTACACATTAGTCTAGAACAGGCCGTTACATTTTTATTTATCTTAAAGGACTTTCCCGTTAAGAAGCGCGAGTGGTGTTTTCTTAACCCCGTCGGTGACCCCATGACCTCTGTGTTTGTTCGCCTGAGTCGGCTCTATTCAATCGTTTGACACTTTTACTTTTCGTATTGAAGCTTTGAGTGTAGGCCTACCTGTACTCTAGCGGCGGTTGGTGAATACCTGGCCAGGTGACGTCACAGCTCTGTGCGACACGAGTTCATATCTGACACATAAACATTTCGACTAGACGATTAGCAATAGGCTATTGGCAGCTACACAACTAGACTATTGGTAACTACACAACTAGACTATTGGCAACTACACAACTAGACTATTGGCAACTACACAACTAGACTATTGGAAAACACACAACTAGACTATTGGCAACTACACACAACTAGACTATTGGAAACCACATACAACTAGACTATTGGCAACTACACACAACTAGACTATTGTCGACTACACAACTAGACTATTAGCAACTACACATGCCTAGACTATTGGCAACTACAATACTAGACTATTGGCAACCACACACAACTAGACTATTGGCAACTACACAACTAGACTATTGGCAACTACACTACTAGACTATTGGCAACTACACACAACTAGACTATTGGCAACTACACTACTAGACTATTGGCAACTACACACAACTAGACTATTGGCAACTACACTACTAGAATCTTGGCAACTACACTAATAGACTATTGGCAACTACACACAACTAGACTATTGGCAACTACACTACTAGACTATTAGCTACTAGAAATAATTAGGCAATTGACAACTATGCAAGGTTGGATAGTTAACAACTACTTACTACCTTTGACAAATCATTATAACTAGACTATTGAAAACAAATACAAGTTTAGATATTTGGCAACTACACGCATGTAGACCACAGGCTGACATTATTAAACATTTAACAAACATACAAGTATATTTAATATACATTGACACAACTACAAGCTGGTCTAAATATTGAAATAGAAATAAAAAGCTTCAACATATGAACAAACTAGATTTAGCTTAAAATATTTAAATTTAATACAGTAAAATTATTTACAACTCTTTGTTGATGAGAACTTGAGGCAAAGTCAGATACTAGCCTGTCACTATGACGTCATAATTGTCATGTGATGTCAGTGTCATCTAGTCGTTGAATGTCACATCTGCAGAATTTTTATATGTCAGTGCCTACACATCACAGAGATGGCATCAATCCTTGTTTTTTTGACATTTGTGATGTCACTTAATGTCTGCAAGCTAGACGGAATCTATAAATAGATTTTAAAAATCTATTTGGCAGACGGAAGTCAGAGATTTAGCTGGACCAAAATCAGACTGTTAACTGGCCACACAGTTTACATCAATCGATGATTACCTCTAGCTCACAATCAATCGATGATTAGCCACAGCTTTACAAAGATTAACAAACTACAGATCAATAACTGCATGGCTACAAATATAAAATCAATACACTTAAGAAGGAATGCTTGTATCAGGAAACCAAATTGTAGCAAGATATGTAAATATATGCAAAGTATGGGAAGCGAAATGTTTTAAAAAGTCTGGATGTTTATGTTAGAGTTTGTACTCAAGCAAAACGTCATAGCTGGTGCCATCCTTGTCGTAGTTGGCGTTGACCGTTGCTTTGTTTACTTTACCTCGGTACTTGTACACCTCCGCCTTCCCTTCCCACCAGTCCCCTTTCTGGGCCAGGTGGAACCACTCCTCCCCGCAGTGGATTGCCACCTTCTGAGCTTTTGGGACGATCATCTTGAAGTGGACGCTTCCGGTTTCAGATGGGTCAAGAAACAGAGGCTCATCCAGGTAGCAATGATCCTTGTAGAACTTCGTGTAGGCTTTGACGTAAGGTTGAGCGGGTCTGGAAACGCGCGCGAATTCGATCAGGTAGTTGTAGACGTTGGGTAGGGATTCCGTGGCCTCGCTCTCAGACAGAGAGAAAATCTGGAACTTGTAGAAGCCACTTTCAGGCACCCCCACATGGAACCGTAGGGCGCTGTCGTCTTTCCGCTGGATCAACACGTACTCGGGCAGTTCCACGTTGTCACGGCACCTGGTCAGCTTCGTCACCACCTGATCGAGATAATTAATTGTAATCAATTTAATTACCGGCAACATATTCATACGTTGACAATAGATAGACAAGAGAAACAAACGCAATACATGCGAGTCTAGAAAAAAAAAAAAAAAAAACAATCCAAAAAAAAAAAAAAAAAAAAAAAACCCCACTGTAAAAAAAAAAATTTCCAACTGCTGAATAACAATTTTCCACAGCATAAAAAAAGTTTTACACTGCTATAAACTGCAACAAAGACGCTATAGAATGGCTGATAACAATGGGCTATAGGAGCATTGTGGGTGGTTTAGTGTGGCTGTATCACAGAAAGCTTTAGGTGGGTAGATCAAGTAACTGTGTGGGTGTACTTGATCACACAGCTGTGTTTATAAAGTTAAGCCATGATTCAGTGTTAGTCTCATACATTGACATCTGGTAGGTTGATCAACACACCCAACAAGTGGACACAATCAGCTAGTTGGCCAACACAACCAACAAGTGGCCAACATACCAAACACGTTGGCCAACATACTCAACAAGTGGCCAACACAATCAGCTAGTTGGCCAACACACTCAACAAGTGGCCAACACACTCAGTTAGTTGGCCAACACACTCAGCTAGTTGGCCAACACACCCAACAAGTGGCCAACACACTCATCAAGTGGCCAACACACTCAGCTAGTTGACCAAAACACCCAACAAGTGGCCAATACAATCAGCTAGTTGGCCAACACACCCAACACGTTGGCCAACAAACCCAACACGTTGGCCAACAAAGCCAACACGTTGGCCAACACAATTAGCTAGTTGGCCAACACACTCAGCTAGTTGGCCAACACACCCAACACGTTGGCCAACAAACCCAACACGTTGGCCAACACAATCAGCTAGTTGGCCAACACACTCAGCTAGTTGGCCAACATACTCAACACGTTGGCCAACATACTCAACACGTTGGCCAACACACCCAACAAGTGGCCAACATACCCAACAAGTGGCCAACATACCCAACACGTTGGCCAACATACTCAACACGTTGGCCAACACACTAAGTAATTTGGCCAACACACTCAGTAAGTGGCCGGCACACTCAGCAAGTTGGCCAACATACTCAGCAAGTGGCCAACAAACACAGCAAGTGGCCAACACACACACGTCAAAACGGCTAACACACCCAACACATGAGTGCAATATCAGCCATCGAGTTATTACCCCACACACGTCCTCAAACTGACTGTTACAACATTAATCACGTGATACGTGTATCCTGTTATGACTCATTCAATCGATGAAATATTTCACAACCTGCCGCTAACGAAAATCATTTTTTTATAATATCGAGTTTAAATCAGCAGTCAGTTGAAGCTTAACGGTCTGCAGAGCTGAAACCATTTTTCATTTCAACTGTCGTCTTTGTTAGGGTTGTTTGAGGGTTGGATATACAATCAAAAACTTGATGTGTGTTGGGTTTTTGTTGGGATTAGACAGATTTATTTTCTTAATTTTTTAGCCACACGTTATGGTGCACAAAAAACGTGGGTCGGGCAGATGGGTCGGGAAATTTGATGGTGAACGTACCCACGTTTTTTGTCAGTCATCACAAGAACCTGCACAGCTCGAGGATGCACAAAAGAAAAATTTATTTTCTACTTTTTAGTCCACAAGAAAAACGTGGTTTTTTAAAAAGTTTTTTTAAAGTATTATATATATATATATATATATATATATATATATATATATATATATATATATATATATATATATATATATATTCATACACATTAATATGTATACCACCCCGTATGTATTCGCGCTCAACTGGCATGTGAATGTACTTCAAGAAAAAAAGAAAATTATACAAGTCAGGCTGTCATTTAATGTCATGCTACTGTCATTTAATGTCATGCTACTTTTTTTCATGATTACGTTACATGTCACTATTTCTAAGCATATCAAAATAAACACTTAGAAACAAAAATTACATCAGATAGCACTGAACTAACTGTAACTGAAAAAAGGATCTATGGGAGTTCTTAGACCCCCACCTCTCTCCCCTCCCCCCTTACGGTCTTATTTACGCCTAGCATAAACGCCTGCGGATGAGAGAGTGTACAAATTAAGCTTGACACGAATTCAGCAACCATAACTCTCCACCGTTCACATTTTTTTGAACAACTGACACGTTCAAAACTTTTCTTTTTAAAACATGGCGTGTCTCAACCACTCGGAAATCTGTTGACTGGGCACATCCAAGTAGGTCAGATATATATTCACTTGTGTTAAACACAGCTGGGATGTTTTCTTTTGTAAGCAATTAAAGAGGGTGGGTGGAGGTGGTACGGTTAACCGAATGTTGGGATACAGGTGCAGTAAAGTGGTGTTGTTATCGAGGTAAGGCACATTTGTGTTGTGGTATAACTCAGCGAAAAATTAAAGAAGTGCTTAAATTCTCTCATAATTTCTATAAACTGCTTTTTGTTTCAAAACATCTATGTCTGTGCTAAAACATCAAATTTTGTGATGTGTAAAATAAGTTCCAGTTGTTTTCCTAAAACATCCAGATGTTGGGAAAAAACATCTCCAGATGTGCTTAAATATCCTGATGTTGTGATAAAATATCCAATTGTTGTGGTAAAACATCCAATTGTTGTGGTAAAACATCTCCAGATGTGCTAAAACATCCAATTGTTGTGGTAAAACATCCAGATGTTATGCGGACGTGTCCTGGAGCAGACGACTTAACATCCGTCTTCCCTGTCACCCTCCAGCTGTACACGAAACGACCGTGACCTTGTGTCATGTTTTTGTTTGTTTGCATATCTCATGGAGATGAAATGAATATTTTCCACACTAAACCTTGACTGGCCAATTAATTTTGGCCCCGTGCCTAGTGGATATAGTACATCTGACCTGCTAGCGTACACATGTCTTGTTACTATAGTACACGCTTCTTGTCTACGAGGTGTTTTTGTACATAAGTGCACAACTGTACGCCGTATGAATCATTCAAGTAGAGCAAGGGTCTCCAAACTACGGCCCGCGGGCCGGATCCGGCCCGCGAGGTCCTCTCATCCGGCCCGCGGGATCTTTTTGTCCACGGAATAAACGTTTGTTGGCGATGGCTGAGGGACTTTGCCCAGAAAAATCAAAGACATGTTTGGAATTAACTGGCCCCCGAACTGAAATTTGATAGTTAATGCGGCCCTTGGACTGAAAAGTTTGGAGACCCCTGAAGTAGAGCATGCAAGACCTCAGTTGATTTATAGTAATACAACAACGTACCTACTTGCATCTGTGGTTTATTTTATGTTTATTTTATTTAATGATAAAAATACACACACACACACACACACACACACACACATATATATATATATATATATATATATATATATATATATATATATATATATATATATATATATACGGTTTTCCGTATGGGCAGATATCTCCAACCACGCCCTAGAGTCTTGACATTCGATGAGTCAGCGAGCAGGGAGTGCTCACTGTTTTCTACGTACGAGCGCGTTAGAAAAAGAATTGACTCACTCGGCCACAATGTCCCAGGACGAAAATGACCCACCCGGATTGCGCCACAATGTCCTGTACAAGTATATGACCCACCCGGAAACCACCCACCGTCCAGTTTCGTCTGGAAATGTTGACTAAAACGATGGTCTTACCTTGACTGGGATGCCTGTCTTGAGCTTGATCGAGACATTGTTGTTGGCCACCACCTTAAACTCAGCGTCCTTGTGGCTGTCAGTCTTCAGGTGCAGTTCACTGAACTTGGGCTGAGCACCCAGGAAGCCATGGGGTAGGTCGGGCTTAGCAGACATGATACAGGTCTGTCGTCTGCTGATTCACACAACGTGAATGGGTGGGGAAGCTAGCGGTTATTTACTTCTATATACATCCAACTGTGGCCAATCAGACGCCGCCTGGCTTGTCACGTGAGCTGCGAGCGTAGGTTCGTGTGTCTATAAATAGCCAGCGCATGTGACGACGGAAATTTTCTCTTTAAGGTAGTCAAGTAGGCGAAGTGGGGGACAAGTGCTGGGACGGCGAGAAGAGAGGGGAGGGCGGCGCTCGGAAAATTAGTCGTGGGGGTGATGGAAGGCGGCGCTGGGCAAATTAGTCATGGGGTGGGGCGATGGAAGGTGGGGTTGCGCTAGTTGTTTGTGGGGTGGCGGTTGGACGACGGAAGGCGCGGCTAGGCAAAATAGTTGTAGGCTGGGGGGGGGGGGGGGGGGGGGCGACGTAAGGCGTGGGCTAGATCTTTGGCAGGGGCGACGCCAGGCCATATGATCTGAGTGCTCGGTCGTTTGATTTAAATGTAGAGAAAGACAGCAAAGATGGCTGCCGATGTTTTTTTAGTTAAATTTGTCTAAAACGTGTGTGTATGTGACTTCGGACACTTGAGGGGGGGGGGGGCATTTATTGAATTTCGGGCGTTGAAAGAAACTCTGGGCATTTTTTTTTTGACAAAATGAGAAGTATGTTGTGTGATTTATAACTGGAGCTATTAGCTTACAATGTTTGTAGTAGTTGGTTTAGAGATTATATAGGTATATACATTGTCATATCGCATGTAACAGTTGGTTTAGAGATTATATAGGTATATACATATTGTATGTAGCAGTTGGTTTAGAGATTATGTAGGTAGAAATGAATATTTTTGGTATTAGAAACTTGGAATAATAAGCTTTAAACAGAATACACTGGCAATCATAATGGATTGAATAATATAATTAAGCAAACGAATTTTTCCTCATTTAAGACTACGATTTATTATAAAACTTTAGAATTCATCCACCCTATATTTTAACGCATCTATTTATTCATAAGTCGCCCACGCTAGTCCATGCTAGTCCACGCTATTCCACGCTAATCCAGGCTAGTCCACGCTAATCCAGGCTAGTCCACGCTAGTCCACGCCATTCCACGCTAGTCCATGTTGTTCCACGCTAGTCCACGCTAGTCCACGCTATTCCATGCTAGTCCACGCTATTCCACGCTATTCCACGCTATTCCACGCTAGTCCACGCTATTCCACGCAAGTCAGCCTTTATTGTAATCAGTTTCTACACATGATGAACGACCAGGGTCTAGCTTGGATGTGTACCCGCATATTTAAACAGATGTCATCATCTAGCAACCACTTGTCTACCTGACAGCATGTCTTCTCTCCAGTCCTCTACATCATCTACCTGATTTTGTTAAGGTAGGGAAGGGTGGGACAGGCAGACACACACGTATAAGTAGACACCACAACACCTGTTTTATTAGACCTTTGTACCTGACCACCCCGCATTATTCAAGATTAAAGCAAAGAGCCCCTAAGTAATTCTATGTTCATACACATTGTACAATAAGTGACCACAAAAATCTTGTCCAATTTCCTTTATTTTATGACAAAGTCATTTGTCAAAAATACATCTCTAATAAAAAAGAAAAATGCCAACTCGTAGTTATTTTAATCTAGTTACATTGAAACAACATTGATTTAATCTGATAAAAGTAATTAGTTCTGATTAAAGATGTAAAAACCGGAACAAAGGTCTGCTTGTTGTTATTTTGTCTAACTAAATGTATCTTCTAGGGTGAGAGTGGGTGTGGGGTTGGGGGTGTTAGTGGGGGGGGGGGGGGAGGAAGGTAGGTTGTGACCCCAAGAAATTTTTATTATGTTAACAAAGGGTTGGTGGTTGTAGAAATATTGGAGTTGTGGGTGTGGTTGGGGGGGGGGGGTTAACGAAATGTTGTAAGGAGGTTAGAGTTATCGTACTTTAACATTATTTTGTAGATGTGAAAAGCCCTTAAGGGACATCAAACTGTATCATGATTGCGTTGTTTAAAGCTGTAGTTGACCGTTGGCGCCCGTACGGTTTAATAACAGTTACCACGGAAACAGCGTGCTACAAAGGTATCATGTAAAGGCTACACCTAGATGTCGTCAGGTAATTGTTTGTCGCCTTCGTCACGTGACTTAGTACCTGATATCAGATCTGGCATCAAACGTCTCCGCTACGGTATACAGGTGCAGGCGTGACGTGGGGTTGCGGGGGTGGGGGGGGGGGGGGTTCAGAGGATAATGGGATTACATTGGGTTTTTTTTGGATAGCTTTATTGGAAAGATTATTTTCAAGAAAGTATTAACTATATACAACAATAATATAACAAAGATCAATACTAAATATTTACACGTTAAAATTCTTTAATATATTTTATATTACACCTACAATCAATCATCATTCTATACACACATACATATTTCCTATATAAAGAAAAAACATTTCTATATTTCTAGGTCGTCCATGAAGGCAATAGTTATATTGTGGGTGAACTGAACTGCTTTGGTTTTAATATAACGCTTAATTAGCACTAGAATTATCCAAAGTTAAAGTGCGATTTTATTTCAGTGCTGTGCCATGGTAAAGTGCGATATCACTGTAGAGCTTTGCTAGGGTAAAGTGCGAGAACACTGTCGAGCTATGCTAGGGTAAAGTGCGATATAACTGTAAAGCTATGCTAGGGTAAAGTGCGATATCAATGTAGAGCTATGCCAGGGTAAAGTGCTATATCAATGTAGAGCTATGCTAGGGTAAAGTGCGAGAACACTTCCGTATGGTGTCATAAAAGAAAAGTAAATGAGGCAATGCATGTGTGTTGGATTCAATAATCTATTTATAGAGATACACTGTGCCAGGTCAACCTATGTTACTATATATAGACAGGTCACACTATGTTATATATAGACAGGTCACACTGTGTTATATATAGACAGACCACACTATGTTAAATCTAGACAGATCAGACTGTGTTATATAGACAGGCCACATATGTATGTGGTAAGGATAGCTTGACTTGTTCACGCGGGCACTCAGCATGTAGACATCTAACCACCCAACTGAAACCCCCGTGACCCCAATGTTTACCAAACCGTAAACTACGTCCGGCCACCCTAGACGCCCCCCACCCCCATGTAACTATGGAAACAGACAGGGAAACAACAGACCGAATCAAAGGGACACCATCTAACCACACGACCACATAAACAGGGAATTCCCTCTGTAAATACAACACCAAATCCTGTTGAGATAAAATATCTAGTCATCAAATCAATCAAAAGACATACACATCTAGTGCATGAAATAAAACACAACACCTATTACAATGTTGTTTAGTGTGTTTTGTAAACATCCTCTTAAAAAAATATTTAGAATAATTCTTTCAATGTTTTTCTCTTTACTGTGATGTCTGTAGCTTCCTATAATCAATAAAACACTCCACCCTTTCTATTTTAAAATGAAAAAAAAATAACGCCTCCCCAATACAACTCATCCCATTTAGGTAGGAGGCTATACAAGAATTGCTATGACAATGAACGATCAAATTATAGGCTACCTGGATAACAAACAATCAACAAACAGTAAAGCTATTGAAGTGGCTTTCATACCGGAGTTTTAAGTAGTTGCCAGATGGCAGTTTTAATGACCAAATTGGAATACCCTTTTAAATCTGCAAAGGAAAATAGAATTTATTAAATGATATGTAAATAAAGTATAAAAGTTTCGATAAATGGCTGATTCTACGAAGGGGGAGGGGTAGGTGGGCTCATGCGAACGTTTTTTTTTTTTTTTTTTTTGCGTGCTGAAATTAGTTCTTTGAGCACTGTGTGAGTCTAGCATCTGACATACAGCAAGTCTTTGAGCACTATGTGACGTCTAGTATCTGACATACAGCAAGTCTTTGAGCACTATGTGACGTCTAGTATCTGACATACAGCAAGTCTTTGAGCACTATGTGACGTCTAGCATCTGACATACAGCAAGTCTTTGAGCACTATGTGACGTCTAGTATCTGACATATAGCTAGTCTTTGAGCACTATGTGACGACTAGCATCTTACATATAGCAAGTCTTTGTGACGTCCAGTATCAACACAATTTGTAAGAGATCTAACAAAACAAATGTTTAAACTAACAACCGTTTAAAACGTTGACAAACATGCAAACAAATACACATTTATTTTATTTTCTTCTTTTTTAGCGCCCATATATTTGTTTATTGATATAAACTTTTTTTTTACATTTGTTTTTCTGTTATAAAATAGAGTGAATGTTATGATTTATTAATGAGCCATAACTGAGTGCACACGATATGTGTGTGTGTGTGTGTGCGTGTGTGTATGAGAAAGCGCGACACTTTTAACATACGTATCTTTAATTAATAAAAAAAATTAAAATCTAATTATGTCCAAATGATTCACACATCACACTGTCAAAAGAAAGTGGCCGTAGTTTCAAGTTAAGCAATTATGATGATTTCAAAAAGATTAATTTTCTAACAAAAGTTACTCCTGACGAAAGAGGTAAGCGTTAAAACTGCCAACTAATGTCACTATTGAATAAAAGTAGTAAAAGTTACTTCCCTTGAATGTATTAATAATTTTACAAAGGTACACAACCATAATGTTGCTTTAAGAGAATGCTAAGAAATTAGATTGTAATAAAATAAAAAAAAGTTAACCAATTGTTTTTAAAACAATCTAAGTAAATAATAATATTCTATGTGATTGTATTTCACTTTGAATATTTTTCTCACAAACTTATAAATTTCAATTATTATTTTATTCTAGTTTAAAATAAAAAACGCTTACCAATATTTAAAAAACTTTATGTTGAAGAAAAAGTATTTAAGATAGGTAAGTGATGTCGATAATTCTCTCGTCTATGCTTTACTTGTAAACGACTTAACATTAACAGGGGTCGGAAAAAAAATTAAAAAAAAAGGGGGGGTCGACAACCTGCGGCTCGCGAGCCGCATGCGGCTCTTTTAATGTCAAGATGCGGCTCTCCAGTTCCATAATTATTATATTATTTCATTTTCATAACTCATAAAAATATTATACTGTAAAAAACAACAACTTTAAACAAGATAAAAACACTAAGAATAGATGGAGTAGACTGTATGCTGACAGCTACTTGGACACAAGGCCCAGCCCCACAATTGTGCTGTGGTTAGTCCCGTGGCAGTGGTTCCATGCTTTCCCCTACCGAAGTGCACATTTTTTAAAATTACATTCGCTTCCTCTGTCTGTCTGTCTAGATTGAAACGCCGGAGCGAAAATTCGGACACTTCTAACTGACAGATACGGTTATTGTTACGGTAATTGGTACGTGGGTCAAGACATAAAGACAATGCATTATGACATTAAATTTGACTTAATTGGATGCCTGATTAATTTTTTATGAATTAATTAAAATTTGGACCGAATTAGTAGGCAGTTCTATCCACACGCGTCATCACGGCCGTGTTGGGCGTGGAGCGAGGGGGGCTCTACGTCAAATGCGCGTCATCACGTTCAATTGGCGCGCGATGGTTTTTAGTCGGGTCAGCAGTATAGTTCTTTACCACTAGAATACGCCGTCCCTTAATATTTTACTGAAACTTTAGCTATAAACTTGACAATGGTTTTTAGTCATGTAACTATTGTAAATAAACCATGTAAAGTACTGAAAAAAAATTCATAAAAAACGTTTTAATAACAATAACAAGCTTTTATGTAATAATGTACTAAAAAGTAGAAAATAAATTATACACTACTATTTAAATAACCATATAGAAAAGGGTGGGTCTCTTCCTAAATATTAGACACTACTATTTAAATTACTATAAAGGAAAAGCGTGGGCCACTTTAGTATCTATTGGATACCTTTACTAATATTTAGAAAGAGACCCACGCTTTTCTTTTATGTTATTAAAACGTGTTTTTATGAATTTTTTTTCGAATATTTTTAATTGTATTTGTTATTTTATTCAGAAGGCATTTTTGTGTGTGTCAGTGTGCATTAATTTCAGTTTTTTTTTAGTTATTAGCTTCTAAATTGGGTAAGGATAGTGCTCTAGCTGATAATTTGATTTTATTATCCTAGCGGAGCTAGCTAAAATTCTTTACTATGTTTTGTGCGAAACGTGTATGTATTTGTATGAATATATATTATTTTATACTTAAACCAATTTATTTGAATTTATTTACCTAATTCTAATCAAATACCATAATACTGAAAAAAATATATTTGTAAGTGGCTCTTTAAAAACTGCGAGATTTTGAAAAATGTCGCTTTTGGCTCTCCCGCCCCAAAAGGTTGCCGACCTGACTTAGCATAAAGAAAGTATTGCAATAGTGCAATTAATCGAAATCGAGAATTTCACATGTCTCGACGTTTTACATCGCCCTGAGTCGGAAAAATATTTTGTTTTCATTCTACCGCTATGAATCTTTGGGAAGTTGTCAGAGGCGTAGCGATGGGGGGCAGGGGGGGGACGGACATATGTCCCTGGGCGCCGACCTTAGGGGGCGCCAAAATGGGTTGTAAAAACAAATTAAAATGTCAATTTAGCTGCATTTTTGAAGTTTGAAGGGGGGTGGGGGTGCAGTTGAGGGGGAGGGTTCGAATCGATGTTGAGGGGGGGGGGGGGTCCAAATTGATAAATTTGAAAATTTGCTCCCGAGGGGGGCCGCCAAATTGAAAGTTTGTCCCCGGGCGCCGGGAAGGGTCGCAACGCCTCTGGAAGTTGTTGAGAATACTCCTGGGGAGTGATATGCGGAAAAAAAAATCGAATTCACAGGAGTGGCACCCCGGCAGTCTGCGATTTTTCTCAATGTTTTGTATAAAAAATAAAAGTCGAATGCGGTCTGACACCGTTCATCCAAGTGCTATAAAGTATCACCTGATCTGGTATTATCTTGCAGGTGATCCAACAAACATCAGGTCAAATGTTACAGGTATTCAACATACATCAGGTGAAATCTTGCAGGTATTCAACATACAGGTTAAATATTGCAGGTGTTTAACAAACATTAGGTGAAATCGTGCAGGTATGCAACAAACATCAGGCCAAATGTTGCAGGTATTCAACATACATCAGATGAAATTTTGCGGGTATTCAACATACAGGTTAAATCTTGCAGGTATTCAACAAACAAAGGAATGACAGCTAACCGTAGGATATCAGCTACATCTCGTGTGCACATACATATGCGCAGGCGTAGACCAATATTTTCTTTGTGACATCCCCCCCCCCCCCTCCCCCCCCCCCCCCCCCACCATCAATGACCAATCTCTTGACTTTACCTGTAAACATCCGTGACGAATGTTTTCCCTGTCACATGACTGGTCTACAAAAATAACTAGCACGTGACTTGCGACCCTTTCAAAAGAAAACAAAAATATTATCTGGCTGTTGTACGATTTCTGTGATACGTGTCTAACTTTAACAGGGGACTGAGGAATTTCTTAAGTAAGGTAGAAAGACAACGGTATGGCCGAGTGGTGGTACATTCGACTGCTAACCCCAAAATGTTCGAGTTCGAGCACTTTTTTACGCTAGGGAAAGATAAAGCACCTGCATACAGTGCTGACCACAAAATCCCTCCACAGACAGAGGTAACTCTACTTCACCTGCCACACAGACCGCCAAGTTTGAAATGTTAACTTTCTGTTTACTCTACTTAATTAGAAAATTCCCTTCCGCCTCAAGAAACAACAACGTGCCAGCACACGTCACGTGTCTGAATATGTGACATAACACACGAACTGATCTCACATACGGTGGGATATGTTGTGCGTGGGCTGGTAGAAACTGCTGGGGACAATTGGGTAACATTATACCACAGGGACAATTGCGTAACATCACACCACAGACTGGGAAAAGTTAAGTCGTCTTTTATGGCTCGGCACAATAGACCAGTTTTACTTGGTTTCATACCCATGTGTTGAGGTGGGTTGATGTGTTGAGGTTGGTTGTTGTGCTTAGGTGGGTTGATGTGTTGAGGTGGCCTGATGTGTTGAACAGTGGCGTCGCAAGGTCGGGTGTCGTCCGGTGCGGCACTTCGTGGTGTCACACCCCTCCCAAGAAACAAAGGATATATATATATATATATATATATATATATATATATATATATATATATATATATATATATATATATAAGGGGGGTGGCTACATAAACCTATAAGTTAAATATATGCAACATGCGCGTACATGTATCTGTATAAGCTTTAATTACTGCAAACAAATAGTAACGATGTTTATCTATAGTCTGTTAATAATGCATTTGGATGTAGTATTATTTTCTCTATAGTTAAAAAGTTTAAATCATTCTGTCACCCCACCCTCTTGTTATAATTGTTGATTTGTACTTAAAAGACTATTTCACTTTAATTAATCATTAATGGAACTGGCAAAAAGGCATTTTTCTTTTGTACATTTTGCAATTTTTTGCCTTGGTGTCACCCCCTATATGGTCATTTGTCTTTTATACATGCACACCCCTACTCTAATGTATACATACACACCCCTAGAGGTTGTCATGAAAACATCAATACCCCACTGTGCCTATAGGTTGCCAACCATCTTAGCCCCAACACCAACACCTCGATGACTAATGTGCACCTAATGAATGTACCGATATGACGAATGTTCTAGAGTGGCAGTGGGAGTTGATAAGTGTGTGTCAGTTTTGCTCTGGCCAATAAAGAACACAGACAAGAAACCCGTCACGTGATCGCTGACTGACATGTTTGCGGTCATTTATCATTCTTATCTAACCTGCTGCGATCAGGGAGAAAAAAACCTATCCCGATCTCACGAGTCCGATCAAAGCATACTGCGCTTGCCAGATAAAATATTTCTGTAGCGGCTGTTTTAGACGCTGGTCACATTGGCAATTTTACGATTTTACTTTTGAAAGTTTTGCTTTATTTAGCACAGTGTGTATTCATTCTACTGAAATTGACAGTTATTTGAAAGTTTTAATTTTGTAATCTTTAATATAAAATATTGTGCTAAACATAACACACAAGCGTACATCTACGTCATAACGCATGAATACATTAAAAAAATATTAAATAGCGCTAATATATATGTTCATATTATATATATATATATATATATATATATATATATATATATATATATATATATATATATATATATATATATATATATATATATATATTATATTATATTTTATATATATATATATATATATATATATATATATATATATATATAAAGGTAGTAGTCCATGACATTACTTTTATATAACAAGGGAAGTAAATCATATTTTATCAATGCAAAAACGGTTATCTACCCTATTACTATATAACTAACTTAAAATAATAATTTACTGGTTTTACGATTATAATGCCGTAGTATTTAGAGTTTTTTTTAATATCATGTGACACGGCATACTGTGATGTAATTTAGCCCACAATAACATAAGGGAAATTAAAAAATCCAAAAATCAAGATTACAAAATACACACAATTTTTAACTTTATTGTTATAAAGTACATACAAATTTTACAGGCCTGAATTTCATGACTAAGACGATAATAAAGTTGTAAGTTTGTGTGTAGTGACACAATCTAATGATACACAGAGAAATAAAATATCCAAGAGTTGTTTCTCTAGTTACAGCCTAGTTGAACCACGTCTAGAAGAAAACAGTTTTCTGAGATACAAAAAGTGCTGGAAGTCTCAAACATGTAGGTGCTACAGCCTGGCATTTCACACATACAGGCGGTGCTAGAGTTGACACTTCTAACATACAGGCGGAGCTAGAGTCTTGCACCTCTCACATACAGCTGGTGCTAGAGTTGGCACCTCTCACATACAGCCGGTGCTAGAGACTTGCACCTATCACATACAGCCGGTGCTAGAGACTTGCACCTCTGACATGCAGCTGGTGCTAAAGTTGGCACCTCTTACATACAGCCGGTGCTAGAGTTGGCACTTCTCACATACAGCTGGTGCTAGAGACTTGCACCATGCATACAGCTGGTGCTAGAGACTTGGACCTCTCACATACAGCTGGTGCTAGAGTTGGCCCCTCTTACATACAGCCGGTGCTAGAGACTTGCACCTATCACATACAAACGTGCTAGAGACTTGCACCTCTCACATACAGCTGGTGCTAGAGACTTGCACCACGCATACAGCTAGTGCTAGAGACTTGCACCTATTACATACAAACGTGCTAGAGACTTGCACCTCTCACATACAGCTGGTGCTAGAGACTTGCACCACGCATACAGCCGGTGCTAGAGACTTGCACCTATCACATACAAACGTGCTAGAGACTTGCACCTCTCACATACAGCTGGTGCTAGAGACTTGCACCGCTCACATACAAACGTGCTAGAGACTGGCACCTCACATACATCCCGTGTCAGAGCCTATTCCTACAGAACATACTCCAACAGACCCTTGTAGTTGATGCCTTCTTCATCGTATGTTGCCATCACTTGAACTTTGGCCTTAGGTTGATTGTACTCATGAAGGTCAAGGGTATCCTGCCAGTTGTCCCCGATCTTGGTCAACTTGAACCACTCGTCCCCTACATGGACAGCAACCTTGTTAGCTCCAGGCACCAGAAGGTCGAACTTGACCTGGTCAAGATGCTTCTGTTGGGCGTTCAGCACCATAGGTTGCTCCAGGACACAGTAGTCCGTGTAGAACTTTGTGTACACCTTGGGGTAGGTCCGGGCTGGTTTGGGAACCACCGCGTCGATCAGGTAGGTGTAGACGTTAGGCATTGATTCACTGGGGTCGGTCTCCCGCAGGGCGAAGATGGTGAAGGTGTACCAGCCGGAGGAGGGGAAGCCAAGGTGGAAACAGACGTACGTCTCGTCTGGTCTCTGTGTCAAGACATAGTCTGGCAGAACTTTCTCCCCGTCACACTGGGTTAACTTGGTTCCCACCTGGCGGGGAAAGAAAAGTTAGTTTAATTAAAGTTTATTACCCATTAGCTTTAAATGGGAGCCGGACGTTTTCCGAAAGACACTTTCACGAATGCGACAAATGCCCGAATAGACACTTGCCCGAATGCGACAAATGCCCGAATGGACACTTGCCCGAATGGACACTTGCCCGAATGGACACTTGCCCGAATGGACACTTGCCCGAATGGGACAAATGCCCGAATGGACACTTGCCCGAATGTGACAAATGCCCGAATGCGACAAATGCCCGAATGCGACAAATGCCCGAATGGACACTTGCCCGAATGTGACAAATGCCCGAATGCGACAAATGCCCGAATGGACACTTGCCCGAATGCGACAAATGCCCGAATTCAACAAATGCCCGAATGGACACTTGCCCGAATGGATACTTGCCCGAATGCGACAAATGCCCGAATGCGACAAATGCCCTAATGGACACTTGCCCGAATGCGACACATGCCCGAATGGACACTTGCCCGAATGCGACAAATGCCCGAATTCAACAAATGCCCGAATGGACACTTGCCCGAATGGATACTTGCCCGAATGCGACAAATGCCCGAATGCGACAAATGCCCGAATGGACACTTGCCTGAATGCGACAAATGCCCGAATGGACGCTTGCCTGTATGCGACAAATGCACAAATGCCCGAATGGATTGGATACTTGCCCGAATGCGACAAATGCCCGAATGGACACTTGCCTGAAAATGACAAATGCCCGAATGGACACTTGCCCGAATGCGACAAATGCCCGAATGGATACTTGCCCGATTGCGACAAATGCCCGAATGGACACTTGCCTGTATGCGACAAATGCCCGAATGGACACTTGCCCGAATGCGACAAATGCCCGAATTGATACTTGTCCGAAGGCCGTTCGACCGAAAAATGTTATCCTGGTGTACCCTCGATGACTGACAAGCTGCTTGAAATATCTAAGCACACAGCGGAAGTAGTTCTAGAAAGATCTTACCTTGACAGGAATAGCTGTCTTGATCCTGATGCATACATTGTTAGCTGCCACTTGAAACTCGGATTGTCTGTGGCTGTCAGTTTTGAGCTTAAGCTCACTAAACTTTGGCAGAGCTCCGAGAAGTCCATCTGGCAATTCAGGTCTCGTGGCCATAATGTCGTGTAGTAGCGTAGTGGTGTAGTAGCGTAGTGGTGTAGTAGCGTAGTGGTGTAGTAGCGTAGGGATGTGGTGACTTAGTGTCGTAGTGATGTTGTTCCTCCAAAGCTGAATCACCTTGTCCAAGTGAGATATATTACAGCTTAAGTTTACTTCTATATATATACATTTGTGACCAATCAACTGACGCCATTCGGTCATGTGATCTGGGCCCAAAACAATAGTTAATGGTTTATGGGTAAACAGGATACATCTGAATACGTTGTAAAACATTTGCGTTATAGAAAATAGAGTGTGTGTGGAGGTGGGGGTTGATTAAACTTAAGATTTGGGTGACATAGCGTTACGTAAGTGAGGGTGGGAGAGAGCTTGAGGGGGTGGTGGGCATATTTTCTAGATCCTGTTAAATATTTCGTTACGGCTATCAGAATTGAATACAGATATTCATAAAACTGTGTGGGTAATTTTAGTACGGGACACGTGGAGGTGTATGTATGGGTAGGTCTAGTATGTGTGGGTCAGATGTGTGGGTCAGTCTAGTATGTGTGGGTCAGTCTAGTATGTGTGGGTCAGTCTAGTATGTGTGGGTCAGATGTGTGGGTCAGTCTAGCAAGTGTGGGTCAGATGTGTGGGTCAGTCTAGTATGTGTGGGTCAGATGTGTGGGTCAGTCTAGTAGGTGTGGGTCAGATGTGTGGGTCAGTCTAGTATGTGTGGGTCAGTCTAGTTTGTGTGGGTCAGTCTAGTATGTGTGGGTCAGTCTAGTATGTGTGGGTCAGTCTAGTATGTGTGGGTCAGATGTGTGGGTCAGTCTAGTATGTGTGGGTCAGATGTGTGGGTCAGTCTAGTATGTGTGGGTCAGTCTAGTATGTGTGGGTCAGTCTAGTATGTGTGGGTCAGATGTGTGGGTCAGTCTAGCAAGTGTGGGACAGATGTATGGGTCAGTCTTGTATGTGTGGGTCAGATGTGTGGGTCAGTCTAGTATGTGTGGGTCAGATGTGTGGGTCAGTCTAGTATGTGTGGGTCAGTCTAGTATGTGTGGGTCAGTCTAGTATGTGAGGGTCAGATGTGTGGGTCAGTCTAGTAGGTGTGGGTCAGATGTGTGGGTCAGTCTAGTATGTGTGGGTCAGTCTAGTATGTGTGGGTCAGTCTAGTATGTGTGGGTCAGATGTGTGGGTCAGTCTTGTATGTGTGGGTCAGATGTGTGGGTCAGTCTAGTATGTGTGGGTCAGTCTAGTATGTGTGGGTCAGTCTAGTAGGTGTGGGACAGATGTGTGGGTCAGTCTAGCAAGTGTGGGACAGATGTATGGGTCAGTCTTGTATGTGTGGGTCAGATGTGTGGGTCAGTCTAGTATGTGTGGGTCAGATGTGTGGGTCAGTCTAGTAAGTGTGGGACAGATGTATGGGTCAGTCTTGTATGTGTGGGTCAGATGTGTGGGTCAGTCTTGTATGTGTGGGTCAGTCTAGTATGTGTGGGTCAGTTGTGTGGGTCAGATGTGTGGGTCAGTCTAGTTTGTGTGGGTCAGATGTGTGGGTATGTCTTGTAGGTGTGGGTCAGTCTAGTATATGTGGGTCAGTTGTGTGGGTCAGTCTAGTATGTGTGGGTCAGTCTAGTATGTGTGGGTCAGTCTAGTATGTGTGGGTCAGTCTTGTATGTGTGGGTCAGATGTGTGGGTCAGTCTAGTAGGTGTGGGTCAGTCTAGTAGGTGTGGGTCAGATGTGTGGGTCAGTCTAGTATGTGTGGGTCAGTCTTGTATGTGTGGGTCAGTCTAGTAAGTGTGGGTCAGTCTTGTATGTGTGGGTCAGATGTGTGGGTCAGTCTTGTATGTGTGGGTCAGTCTAGTAGGTGTGGGTCAGTCTAGTATGTGAGGGTCAGATGCGTGGGTCAGTCTTGTATGTGTGGGTCAGTCTTGTATGTGTGGGTCAGATGTGTGGGTCAGTCTAGTATGTGTGGGTCAGATGTGTGGGTCAGTCTAATATGTGTGGGTCAGTCTAGTAGGTGTGGGTCAGACGTGTGGGTCAGTCTTGTATGTGTGGGTCAGTCTTGTATGTGTGGGTCAGTCTAGTATGTGTGGGACAGATGTGTGGGTCAGATGTGTGGGTCAAACTAGTAGGTGTGGGTCAGATGTGTGGGTCAGTCTAGTATGTGTGGATCAGTCTAGTAGGTGTTGGTCAGTCTTGTATGTGTGGGTCAGATGTGTGGGTCAGTCTAGTAGGTGTGGGTCAGATGTGTGGGTCAGTCTAGTATGTGAGGGTCAGATGTGTGGGTCAGTCTAGTATGTGTGGGTCAGATGTGTGGGTCAGTCTAGTATGTGTGGGACAGATGTGTGGGTCAGTCTAGTAGGTGTGGGTCAGATGTGTGGGTCAGTCTAGTATGTGTGGGTCAGTCTAGTTTGTGTGGGTCAGATGTGTGGGTCAGTCTAGTATGTGTGGGTCAGTCTAGTATGTGTGGGTCAGTCTAGTATGTGTGGGTCAGATGTGTGGGTCAGTCTAGTATGTGTGGGTCAGATGTGTGGGTCAGTCTAGTATGTGTGGGTCAGTCTAGTATGTGTGGGTCAGTCTAGTATGTGTGGGTCAGATGTGTGGGTCAGTCTAGTATGTGTGGGTCAGATGTGTGGGTCAGATGTGTGGGTCAGTCTAGTAGGTGTGGGTCAGATGTGTGGGTCAGTCTAGTATGTGTGGGTCAGTCTAGTATGTGTGGGTCAGATGTGTGGGTCAGTCTAGTATGTGTGGGTCAGATGTGTGGGTCAGTCTAGTATGTGTGGGTCAGATGTGTGGGTCAGTCTAGTATGTGTGGGTCAGTCTAGTATGTGTGGGTCAGATGTGTGGGTCAGTCTAGTATGTGTGGGTCAGATGTGTGGGTCAGTCTAGTATGTGTGGGTCAGATGTGTGGGTCAGTCTAGTATGTGTGGGTCCGATGTGTGGGTCAGTCTAGTATGTGTGGGTCAGTCTAGTATGTGTGGGTCAGATGTGTGGGTCAGTCTAGTATGTGTGGGTCAGATGTGTGGGTCAGTCTAGTATGTGTGGGTCAGTCTAGTATGTGTGGGTCAGTCTAGTATGTGTGGGTCAGATGTGTGGGTCAGTCTAGTATGTGTGGGTCAGTCGAGTATGTGTGGGTCAGATGTGTGGGTCAGTCTAGTATGTGTGGGTCAGATGTGTGGGTCAGTCTAGTATGTGTGGGTCAGATGTGTGGGTCAGTCTAGTATGTGTGGGTCAGTCTAGTATGTGTGGGTCAGTCTAGTATGTGTGGGTCAGATGTGTGGGTCAGTCTAGTATGTGTGGGTCAGTCTAGTATGTGTAGGTCAGATGTGTGGGTCAGTCTAGTATGTGAGGGTCAGATGTGTGCGTCAGTCTAGTATGTGTGGGTCAGATGTGTGGGTCAGTCTAGTATGTGTGGGACAGATGTGTGGGTCAGTCTAGTAGGTGTGGGTCAGATGTGTGGGTCAGTCTAGTATGTGTGGGTCAGTCTAGTTTGTGTGGGTCAGATGTGTGGGTCAGTCTAGTATGTGTGGGTCAGTCTAGTATGTGTGGGTCAGTCTAGTATGTGTGGGTCAGATGTGTGGGTCAGTCTAGTATGTGTGGGTCAGTCTAGTAGGTGTGGGTCAGACGTGTGGGTCAGTCTAGTATGTGTGGGTCAGATGTGTGGGTCAGTCTAGTATGTGTGGGACAGATGTGTGGGTCAGTCTAGTAGGTGTGGGTCAGATGTGTGGGTCAGTCTAGTATGTGTGGGTCAGTCTAGTTTGTGTGGGTCAGTCTAGTATGTGTGGGTCAGATGTGTGGGTCAGTCTAGTATGTGTGGGTCAGTCTAGTAGGTGTGGGTCAGACGTGTGGGTCAGTCTTGTATGTGTGGGTCAGTCTTGTATGTGTGGGTCAGTCTAGTATGTGTGGGACAGATGTGTGGGTCAGATGTGTGGGTCAGTCTAGTAGGTGTGGGTCAGATGTGTGGGTCAGTCTAGTATGTGTGGATCATTCTAGTAGGTGTGGGTCAGTCTTGTATGTGTGGGTCAGATGTGTGGGTCAGTCTAGTAGGTGTGGGTCAGATGTGTGGGTCAGTCTAGTATGTGAGGGTCAGATGTGTGGGTCAGTCTAGTATGTGTGGGTCAGATGTGTGGGTCAGTCTAGTATGTGTGGGACAGATGTGTGGGTCAGTCTAGTAGGTGTGGGTCAGATGTGTGGGTCAGTCTAGTATGTGTGGGTCAGTCTAGTTTGTGTGGGTCAGATGTGTGGGTCAGTCTAGTATGTGTGGGTCAGTCTAGTATGTGTGGGTCAGTCTAGTATGTGTGGGTCAGATGTGTGGGTCAGTCTAGTATGTGTGGGTCAGATGTGTGGGTCAGTCTAGTATGTGTGGGTCAGTCTAGTATGTGTGGGTCAGTCTAGTATGTGTGGGTCAGATGTGTGGGTCAGTCTAGTATGTGTGGGTCAGATGTGTGGGTCAGATGTGTGGGTCAGTCTAGTAGGTGTGGGTCAGATGTGTGGGTCAGTCTAGTATGTGTGGGTCAGTCTAGTATGTGTGGGTCAGATGTGTGGGTCAGTCTAGTATGTGTGGGTCAGATGTGTGGGTCAGTCTAGTATGTGTGGGTCAGATGTGTGGGTCAGTCTAGTATGTGTGGGTCAGTCTAGTATGTGTGGGTCAGATGTGTGGGTCAGTCTAGTATGTGTGGGTCAGATGTGTGGGTCAGTCTAGTATGTGTGGGTCAGATGTGTGGGTCAGTCTAGTATGTGTGGGTCAGATGTGTGGGTCAGTCTAGTATGTGTGGGTCAGTCTAGTATGTGTGGGTCAGATGTGTGGGTCAGTCTAGTATGTGTGGGTCAGATGTGTGGGTCAGTCTAGTATGTGTGGGTCAGTCTAGTATGTGTGGGTCAGTCTAGTATGTGTGGGTCAGATGTGTGGGTCAGTCTAGTATGTGTGGGTCAGTCGAGTATGTGTGGGTCAGATGTGTGGGTCAGTCTAGTAGGTGTGGGTCAGATGTGTGGGTCAGTCTAGTATGTGTGGGTCAGATGTGTGGGTCAGTCTAGTATGTGTGGGTCAGATGTGTGGGTCAGTCTAGTATGTGTGGGTCAGTCTAGTAGGTGTGGGTCAGATGTGTGGGTCAGTCTTGTATGTGTGGGTCAGATGTGTGGGTCAGTCTAGTA